AGCCCGCCGGGCCCGGCAGCCGCTCCTCAGCCCGCGGGCTCAGGCGTCTCCTGCTCGGGCCTGGGCGAGGGGCTCCTGTCGTGCCTGGAGCGATCGCATCTCTGCAAAACTGTCACAGAAAACGTCACCTGTGCGTGCCTGGAAGGGTTATTTATGAGGGCAGCGATGCTAACGGCATCTTGCTGTTTCATTTTCCGTCTGGAAAGAGAGAGAAAAAGTAGTTTTGCCACAGAGATGAAGTGGTGTGAGCGATACTTTTCTGGTTAAGTGAGAAGCTTGAGGACAAACTGAGCGCTCCATAGTTAGTACGTAAAGCATGAGTAACGCTGGAGGTGATCTGTGCTGATTCAAGATGGTTGCACGCACCGTATCTGATTTTTGCAGAGTTGTAACGTGTTAGAAGAGATGGGGGCTTTTAACAGAGCAGTAAATCCCCTAACGAACGCCCAGCTACGGAGCCGCTAGAGTCGCCTTCTATTACTTTAAGATGGAGTTGAGGAGCGGGACACTGGGCGCTGTGCAGCGGCGTAGGTTGAGAAACGCCTTTGACATTATGTCCCAGGCCACCGACTGGACTGAGCCCGTGTCTGGCCGTCAAGCAAAGCGCCAGTGTGACAAAGCACTGTCGAGCTGCGGCCGCCTCGCAGCTGGGCTTGCGCTGCTTCCCTGCAACTACCCCTTCGTGAAGGGCACTGGTTTAGGCATCGCCTTCATCGCTTTGTCAACAACACCCAATGATGTAACTAACGGAGGAAATTATTTCCATTCTCTCGCTTGTATTTTCAAAATGCATATGTACACGTATATAAATATATACTTTACATGTGCTTTAACTTTACAGCAGAGTATGAGTCTTATTTGAAGTTGGGAATCATGTTATCTTTTATAAATGTGTATGAAACTGGACTTTTAAAGTTGCTGTGGAGTGTGGCCCGTAAATTTCTTGATGCTTTGTTTGCTTTTAGTCTATTTGCTTTTAAATCGTGTTTTGTAACTTAATCATGAAAACGTTAACGGTTCTTGTTACCCACGTTTTTATTCCTAACTGGAAATACAGACTTGGGAGTTTGCATTGAAACAGAAACAGAAACATTAATGGTTGCTTCCTAAGTCTGCTGGGCAGCTGCAGTGCTACATATGAATTACTGAGCAGCTAGAAGGTAATTTACACTTACTTATCAATCTTAAATTTTAAACTATGGTCTCTGAAGTTGGCCCTTATTTTTTCACATTTATCAAGACTTTGTGTGGGTGTCTATTGCAAGTCAGACAGGTGAAGCTGTCAGGACTGCTTCATGGTTGTATTTCTCATGGGGCGCATGTTATGCACAAAGGCATCAGGTTTTTGCCGGTCATGCCTGCTAGCAAATTATAGGTAGGAAAACTTGAAATGGTTTCCTTTTGACCCTACCTTTAATAGGAAGATTTGAGAGAGGTGCCGTGTTCTGACTGCTCTTTGTCATGGTGATGTGACGCAGAATGGCAAATGTCGAACATCACCATCTAAGGTCCTGCAACTTGATCGCACGGTTTTGTAACCGCGTGGCATAATTTGGTGTGTGCCTCTGTGTTTACCTCATAATTAATAAATCCCCACCCTGCACTTAATTGGAAACGCAGACAAATTATACATATTTTTTACTGATAATAACTTGGTGGTTTATAATCTGAATTGGATATTCAGTGATTTTTAGGAAGTGAGATGTTAGGGAATATCTTAAATTGCTCTTCGGAATTTATTTCTAATAGCTAGAACAGGTATTACAATTGGCAAAATAGGATGGAAAGGAAAGCAGTGATTCTTCTACAAAATGAAGTCACAGTTTCATTACTAGGAAAGAAAACATTGGCTTATTTTCCTGAGCATTTTGATTTTCTTGACTGTTGGGTTTTGGTTTTTTTTAACAGTTGCTGTGTTTTTGCTTTGTGAGCTGCAGTAAATATGTGTGCATTTGCAGAATGCTAATTCAGAGCGGTGTAGATCAGAATATTGTGTGATGTTTAACTGGATCTCCCCGTTTCAACACTTCTATTTTTCCATTTACCATTTAAACTTAAAAAGCTCTCTGGATTCCTTCTTTCTTTCCCCCAGTACTTTTGTTAGAAATTTTTACAGCTATTAGGTGAAGACCAATATAATTTTAAAAAATTACTTCCTATATGAGCAGCTGGTAAACTTTCACTGTGAACACCGAGCATTGAACAAGGATTAAAACTTAGCAAAACTGGAGATCTGAAATGTCTTTGGTAGCAGCTACATTGGCTGAACTCATGCAACGCAGGTAGCATGTTCCATGTTCTTTACATGTCTCTCTACTTTAACATTTATAATGTAATTTTAATATTAAAATATAACTGAATCCATAGTTTGAAATTCCTTTCTGATAGTACCTGAGTACAATAAGATAAAAATTGAAATAAGCTGTCTGCACGTTGTATTTTTTCCCTTGAGTGACAGCGTCATTTCAGTTGATAATAAAGGTCCAATCATAAGATATACAGAGCAGTTAAAGCTTTCTATCTGCGCAGGTTGTTGTGATGTTTGATGGGAAAATGCTTCTCATTTTGCACAAGGAAAAGCCTTATTGCAGTCAAAGCCCTTAGGTTGTAGAGCTGAGAAGGAGAAGCTGGTGGGGAAGGGAAATCTGAATTTACGCACTCCGGAGGATGACTTACAAAACCATACGCTTGCATATGAAATAAAGCAGAAGACTGAGAAGAAGAAGGACGGTTGTGATGGTGTTGGTTACTGTTCATAACTGGTTTCTGCTGCAGGTGTGGGGAAGGAGTGGAAATGCAGGGTAGGGACTTGTAGCACCAGCAAGTGAAACACGTGTGAGAAATCCCTGAAGAGACCTCAAATACCTGTTCTGCACAGAAAGATTTTAATACATTTTTGGAACTGTTGTTTTGAGGGGGTTTTTTTCCCTCTTTTTAGGTAAGTCTGCTCTTTGTGAGAACATTTTTGTTTATAATTTGGAGATGGTATTGCAAAATGTAATTTTTAGATGACAGCTAAGTGTGTGACAAATTTCAGCACCTGCTGTTAGATTGACTGGAGTGCCTAAACAGCATGAGCGAGTGGAGACTCCTATTAATAATTCCAGGTGTGTGATTCATTGCAGTCTGATGGAGCAACTAGCTGGAAATAACTTGAGAGAAAGGACTGAGCGGTGGCTGTGGGCTAACTATAAAGATGTTGCATGAAGAGTGTTTTGTGTGAAAGTTCTCGCTTAAAACATGCCACAAGTAAACTCCATAATTATAGAAGACCTAATTGTATTAAAATGCAATCTCTTTGTATGTTTTAATGGCTGGTTGCATGCTCTCGGTCCTAATAATTTGTCATGGGTAATATCTGCTCAGTGGAAATGGAGCAGTTTTTAACTCCCTGTGTTGGTAGGAGTATACGTTTGTTTTACAAATTGAATAAAGAGGTCTTTAAAAGAATGGGGGAAAACCAAAGTTAATATTTTTTTTTCTAAGGGGTTGTGCCCTGGAGATTTTGAGCTCCTCTGGAAGGAAGATGGAATTTCCAACATCTGCGCCTGAGTCGTCATCAGTTTGTGCCAGTTCTGAGGGCAGACAGGAGTAAGCAGGCTGGTGATGAATGCTTTGAGTCCTTTATTTCCTGTAGCAGAGAGGAGAAAACTTGTTGGGAAAAATAACCTCCAACTTATTTTTTTGAAAAATTTAAACCCATTATGTTTAAGCGTGTGCTTTTTAATTATCCTTCCTTGTGTGTTTATTTTGTGTAAAGCGTAGGATTTTCTTTTTCCCTTTTCTTTCCTTTTTTCCCTAACTCAAGGTCTCTCAGGAGAGATAAAATATGAAATGTACTCCCATTAGATACATTAGTCATGGCAAATAGTTTGGCATATATGGCAAAGGCTAAACTGATACTTAATAAGAGGACATTAGGAGAAACACTGGTTTTACTGTTTCTCTTCTCCCTGTTACTGATCCAGGCTTTCCGTATTTATTTGCCTTTTAAAGTACATCTCGAAAATCTGTGTTGCTTCCCTGTGTGAGAGAGCCCTGAAAACTTGGAGAGTTTGTGTTGTAACAACTGTCACGACCCTGAATGGAGACGAAAACAAACCAGAAAGAGCTGTAGCTGTCTTAGCTGAGGAGCTTTAGCAAAACAAGGGACAGGAGCTGACAAAGCAGACTGCACGGTGTGGGTCTGGCCAGAGAATGTGGGAACTGAACCCACGTTATTAAACTCGTCCTTGTGTTTCCCATTCATCGTCTCTGAACGTTACGAAACACACAGCGAAGGAACCTCAGTTTTCTTGGAATTGTCTGGCTCTTCGCTGTGTAATTATTGAGACTTTTCTTAGAACCTCGGCTGACATTAAAATCAGGACTTAAATTGTGTGTACCAAATGTGTATGTGCATGGGGTGGGCAGGGACAGGGGCACCCGGAGGGTGCTTCACTTTTAAGTTTAGTTGGTTACAAAAAGTAACACCAGCAATGATAATTGCCTTCTCTAACATTTAATTTTCTCAACATTTAGAATATTTTTTTAAATTTAAATTATCTTTTCTGATGGAAACCAATGACCCCACCTGTACATCAGGTGTGACCCAAAGCTTAAAGATTAATCATATGGGTGTTTTTAATTAAAAAAAAATGTCTGAAAGTGTGGGGGTTTTTGTCTTTAAATCTTTAGTGTTTGTTTGGGTTTTCTTCTGTTTGTTTGTTTGTTTTTTTTAACTTTCATTTAAAACTGAACAGCTTATTGGGAGAAAAGCACAATAAAACTGAATTTAAGGCTTGAAGAAAGAGCACAGAGGTACAAAGTGGAAAGGGGTGAAAAAAAAAAAAAAAAAGAATTTAGAAGGAATGCCTTGCATGCAAACATCTCCATGTGGTCCGGCTCGTGTTATCAGTTATCAATCCTCAGTTGCCCAGAAATGTCAAAATTCTTTCACATATTTTAGTGGGGAGAGAGAGATAACAGCAGTGATATCAATTTTAGTAAAAAGTTAAATAATACATAAACACATACTTTATGAGATGCAATGTAGTAAGTGGACTTTGGACCACTTGGCAATGGAGTCCTCTTTACTGAAACTAAGTTGCCTGAGTGTTGCTCTTTTATTGGATATTAAATACTACTGTTCCCATCAATGGGAATACTGGGAAATTCGTTCTTTTGGTTTTCCTTTTAATTCAGCCTTGTCCGTTCAAGCTCTGTGCACCTAACAGTGAGTAATTAGTTATGTGTGACCTGCTCGGCTACTGCTACGCTGTGGTGATGACGCTAAAATCTTTCAGACCCCATTTGGAGGAAAGGAAAATGGAGATGGCTAAAAACCTCAACACTTTTTAGTTCTGATCCTTTATAGGGGCTGTCAAAATGGGAGGAACTAGATCATCAAATGTATATTTATACTTCATAGAGGACTGCAGAAATGTATTTAGGGTAAAAAATGGATTGTTTGCATGAAATAATAATTTTAGTCACTTTAAGATACTCCTTCAAATAGAATCTGCTTTTTCTGAAGAATAAGGTATTTTGATTATTTTTTTTTATTTTAATGAACTCCTTTGATCTGATTTGCAGCTAGGCATTTTATCAGACTGACTTTATTCCCCTGAATATACTCCCCCATTTTTACCCCCTCTTCATCCTTTGTAACATTTTATAGTTGATTTAAGGATGTAATCGCTCTGTTAGCCTCTGCCCCTCTATGTCCAGCTGCTTTCTCTTTGTCACACTAATGACCTG